AAATGGTATCAAATTTCTAAATACACTATCATAGAACAGGAATTACAAACTACAGAACTGTGTTGTTAACTAAAATTGACTCTTTAGTAAAAATGTAATAAAGTCAAAACCCGACTAGAGCAAGTTCGGCGGTACTGTAGCCTCGTACGTCGATCGGCTTTGTGTAACGCTGTAACGTGCGATGAGCGCGTCCCTTTTACCTTTATCGCGCGCACGGTCCTATCCCCTCCGCAGCCAGCGCTCGACGGCCGACATGGAAACCCTTAGGAGACTGCGATCAGGCGCTGAACTCGGATGTTAACATGGATCATATATTTTTCAAATTTTTGTCATGTTTAACCCTCCGTCGGTCGGATATTTATTCACCTTCGAACGGTCGGAGTGGTACGGCTGGGCCACCATTCATTTTACATGCATTTATATGGGTTAAATGAGTTTTTGGTGTCTTATATATTAACGATTCTTAGTAGTAAATATTTATAGTTTTGATTTTTTTCTTTTTCTTACCGTCTTTTGCATGTGTTGAGCTTGCTTATAATAAAAATATATATATTATATAAACAAAAATCAAAGAATATAAAAAAATCGTTTTTTGTTATTTTTTCTGTTTTATATCAATGAAAAACAATATTCTTTTTCGGCTTCTTCCAAATGAATGTGAAATTCAAAAGAAAATGAAATGAGGTGCGTCGCCTTTGAAATGAGCTGTAAAATTCAAGTTGAAAATATAATTTTACTACAGATTTGCCAAAAAAATTTTCGAACGCAGTACGAGAAGAAAAATTGTTGATAACGTGCGCATTACTCATCCGATTTTCAATGTTTGCGATGACCAATAAGTTTAGTAGATTTTCAAGGAACTCTCGTCGTGAAAATACTAACATTCATGTTACAACACATAGCAAATAATATATAAAACGCAGTTTGAATAGAAAATACCAGAAAAAATAGAAAATACTGGTTTCCATATATCAAAAAGCGTATATTTCATACAAAATGTGTGGGTGGTCTAGTCAGACCACTCCGACCGTTCAAAGTATAAAAAAGTTAATATCCTTATAATTATCCTTCTGTACATTTTTTCGTTCTGATTTTGTCATTGATCGACAGCTAATGAAATTTTAGGAAAAGTCAAGAAATTTCAAGTCGATAGGATTACTAGAAGTATTTTTTTTCTTAATTGAAGTCGAAAAAAGTCTGGCCAGACCACGCCGACCGACGGAGGGTTAATTTTAATTTTTTTATACTTTTATCAAAAAGCATTATGTATTATATTATTATTATTATTATTATTTTTAATTTTCATTTGGCCTCGCTTACTCTGAACATTTATCCACCTACAACATTTTTATTTATTTACGTTCTAATTTTTCTTATATCATTTTCAATCTATTTATGTATCCTATTCTATATTCTTCTTAATTTTTCTTCTCCTTATTTCCTTCAATTCTTGCTCTTTTGGGAATTTCTTAATTTTATTTAACTTTTAGCTTCATTCCACACTTTTTTTTTCTTCATTCTTCTTTTAAGTTCCGATATTTCTCTTCTTACTCCTAATTCAATTCAACTATTCAAATTCTGTTAATCCTAATTTTCTTAACTTTTATTCAAATTCTATTTAACATGTACAATTTTTATTTGATTTCTACACATATTTTTTTTCACAAATTCTAAGTCATTGACAGGATTTGATCCGAAGATCCCTGTCGTGTGAATCGAACACGCTACCAAAGAGCTACGCTCGCCACATGTATTATATATTAATGTAATTATATCTCATTAAATCATATTTTGTAAATTAAAATATTTTAGAAGTACTACCTTACAAAATAATTGAAATCGCGTTACGAAATCTTTAATAAATAATTCTGTCTTATGAAACAGAGGTGCTGCATTCGAATGAACTAAAACTTTTATAAATAATAGACGTAGGAACACCGACTTTTTCTTTTTGGAGTAGGAAAATAAAATATAAGGACGCTCATGACAACGATAATATAATTTAATATAAACTACGAGTAGTAAATACACTAAAAAAAACTGAAATCTTTTCAACAAAAAGTATATTTTAAACTGTTTACGTTGATGGCAGTAGCTAATATTATATACTCTCTCATCAAATTTTTGCCTGGAATTCAATATTTAAACGCTGTTTGATGAATCTCGATTCGCATGATTATTGATGAATCGATAATTAGCAGAAAAGTGCAAAACTTTCGGCAACATTTTCGCATAAAATTCTAAACCGATTGTGAAAATTCAAAAGGCATTGCAAGCTGATTATTATTAAGTAAAGATCGGCCAGGCCGTTTCTTTATGATTATTTGTTAATTTTTTGAAGATTTTGATGAAACTTTGTATGATTACGGAGTTTGGTGGTCTAATCGTACATTCTAAAATATTATAGGCCTACGAAAAGTTGTTGATCTATACCTAATAATTCATTACAGTTTTAAATGACGAGCAGCATTCCAGATCTTTTTCGTGTTTCATACTCATCACCATTGATCATTTCTCAATTGGAATCAATCAATTCAATAATTGGAAATTAGTTTTTGATAATAAACAAAAACTTGATTTTTGAAACAAACAATGGTAAATTTTATCTAAATAGCCAAATCTCAATTTCTGTTGAACAAGACTTTTATTTATATATCGGGAAATTCATGCACCTTGTCTTAAGGCAAGATGCTACATGCAACTATATTAGTTGGATCCAGAAAGAAATCAAAGTGTGAAAACATGAATGTTTGTTGGGCCAGGATATGAGAACGATATATGTCATCAATCTTATTAAGTATGAATGGATAGTGCCTTGTTAAAAATGTATTTATAATGATGATGTCCTTGTATAATATGGAAGAAAGATAGATCATTTAAAAATAGGAGTATCATGCAGAAGAGCATAGCTGCAATTTCCAGAAAAAACCACACTTACTAGTAAGCTAAACATCGATTAAAAGAATGCTAATCAGTTATTACATTTAGATACATATTGGTTCATTAGTCTCTTCAGCTAATTCATTATTACATTAAGATACGATTCATGATTACATGTATCTAAATGTAATAACTGATTAGCTGAAGAAGACTATTGTATTGAACCAATAAAGCTAACTGTAAGAGCAATTCATTCAAATATTAAATAAAATCTGAAAATATTTTATACTGCTGAGAAACTTTCAATATCGCATAACGTCATAGATGTGAAATTAAATCATCTGGAGGGGTTGAGACAAAGACTTATTAAGGATGATTGACGACACGAATGAATAGAAAGCCAATGAAACAGAACATGAGAAAAGAAATTTGAAAAATAGAAAATAAGATATGAAAAACTGAAAGACTTGTGAGATAATTTCAAACTTAATTCAGAAACTTTTTTGATAGATTTCAGCATATCAACGTTCTATCTCCTAATAATCATGGTTGCGTTTTAACAGTGCAGCAAGAATATTTTAAACAATTATTGTTTCGGAACTTCACACACTCCCACTTCATAATAAGATATTTTTTGTGATTAGTTTATTATTAAGTTTTTCTGGATAACTATTTTTTATTTATGATTTTAATTTTCTGATTTGTTTTCTAATATTTTTGTTTGGTTTTTTATATTAAGTGAAAAGTTAATCCTTTCAATTTTGAAATAATTCAAAAAGTGTATGAATACAGAATAAAAAAGAGGACCAGATACAATAAATTAAATGAAAAATTAAATAAATATTTTTCAAGAAAAAGAAGAGGCCTTACTTCAGGAAGTGAGAATTGTAATTTATGCGGTTGTGTTGCGCTTCATACAAAAAAATAGTAATAGTAAAAGCATCACACAATATATACAATAATACACAATACATTCAATAATTACTAAGCATTATAATTGACATAATATCTGAGTAGGGAATGCAATACCGGTATACCGTATAGCGAATTACCGGTAAACCGCCCGATTTTTCGGCGGAATTTTTACTGGTATTTACCCCGAAAATATCGGTATTTTCGGTATTTTTACATAAGCGCTATTTGATACATAATACATTAAAGTTTAAATTTCTCGGAACAAATTTATCTTTAAATTTCACAATCGCATAAACAGCTATATCTTCAAGTGATTCTATAGGATAAACAAATGTCAAAAATTATCTCAACTCGTCATTAAACTGAATATTTATTGCTTTACTAAGGGCTACATATCGTGTTACAATAAATAGATAATGATAGATAATGATCTTATATAAAAATGTAACAGTTTTTTAAGTGATATTTGCGCTAAAATATTTTATATTATACAAATTACCCCTGCGTAATCTTTATTTTTTTCTAACTTTATACATAATAATTATGATAATTACTAAATATTTTTGCTTCGTATTACAATTATAAAATATTATTTTTCGAAAACGTTTCGAAGTTTGTTTTAAATAACAATACTCAATAATTATAGTAACTTATTATTTATCTCGTGATACTTATTATTAAATTAGTGTAGAAAATTAGAATTAATTAAATTGGATATAATTTTTTTAAATTATTATTTTAAAAAATACATTTATCGTTTTATTTTATTGTTTTTATTGTTTAATTAAATATAGTTATATAGTTGTATATACATTCTTTTATAATTGTATTAGTAACTGTCAATTTTGTTTACGTTTGTTTAAGATAATAAAAATACCGGTACTTTACCGGTATTCCGGTTTTAAAATAAAAAATTACCGAAATACCGGTATTGAAATTTTCCATCGGTATTGCATTCCCTATCTGAGTGATTTCCTCTAAGATTATAAAGTCATTTTTTTTACTAACTCCAAAATTTTGACATTATCCCTTACATTGAGGATAATCAGAGTCATTCGTGCCTGGCATAGTTGTATGTGCGAAAATGCAATTTGCCTAACTGCGTTCCTGTGTAACACGGCGCACAACGCTGAAACACAATCGCGATTCGCGGCAGAAGTACAGGGCATGCGCGTCATCTTTACACGAACGTCAATAATGCCTAAATGCATCAAAAGTACACCGACCGAAAAGGAATGTGTTCAAATGTAAAGTGCTCTGTAGGTAGGTACTTCTTGCGCGCAAAGAGCTGCCATCGCGCGGTTAAAGGTATGGCTCGCATCAGGTGTAGGGCGCCCGTAGGTCACCGGGAGATAAATTTCAGATCGTCGATGTTCGACGATTTGAAATTATACCGTCAATAACGATACATGAAATACCAAATTAGTCTTGAGTCTGATATGGAGATCTTTTTTACAAATCTATATTCACAGTACATATTATATATTTATATCCACATATATGGTATGCTAGACTCTAGATTGTAGTATTTTTACAAACATTGTAGTAATTTTACACCCACTGTAGTATTTTTACAAACATTGTAGTAATTTTACACCCATTGTAGTATTTTTACAAACATTGTAGTATTTTTACACCCATTGTAGTATTTTTACAAACATTGTAGTAATTTTACACCCATTGTAGTATTTTTACAAACATTGTAGTAATTTTACACCCATTGTAGTATTTTTACAAACATTATAGTAATTTTACACCCATTGTAGTATTTTTACAAACATTGTAGTATTTTTACTCCCATTGAAGTATTTTTACAAGCATTGTAGTAATTTTACACCCATTGTAGTATTGTTTACAAACATTGTAGTAATTTTACACCCATTGTAGTATTGTTTACAAACATTGTAGTAATTTTACACCCATTGTAGTATTGTTACAAACATTGTAGTAATTTTACACCCATTGTTAGTATTGTTTACAAACATTGTAGTAATTTTAACACCCATTGTAGTATTGTTTATAAACATTGTAGTAATTTTACACCCATTGTAGTATTATTTACAAACATTGTAGTAATTTTACACCCATTGGACTTATGTACATCAAATTATCAGATATTTTTATAGAGATTTTAATACTGTGTACATATTTTGTGTAA